GCTTTTGTTCCTCACGTTCACCAATTTAAGCTCCAGGTGTGGGTGATTTGATTTCTCAGCTTGAGATTCCCAGGCCTGACACCAGGTCAGCATAAGGGAGATGTTAGACGGCCCTGTGTAAAGACAGGGCAAAGAGCTATTGGCACGAGACAGAGTGCAGAGTGTGTTTGGGGTGGCAGCTGCTACACGAGATGCTACGGGCTGTGCAGGGCAGCAAACCCTTGTGTGGCTCCTGGTGTTGCTCTCCACTCAGTACCAAGGGGAACTGGGTCCCAATGGCGCATTGATCAGAGGGCTGTCGTGGCCATCACGGGCTCCTTCTGCCTCGAGATGAGAGATGGACCTTGGACGCTGGTCTGGAGGAGGCCCCTCTCGTGGGATTGTGGGCACTTCCGCCCAGGAGAATGACCTCTGACCGGCTCACTCCTGTTCTCACGGTGCGTTCCATGGAGCAGGTTAAATCCGAATGTCCTTTCTCCCATGGGACGGAGCAGGTGCGCTCTCTGGAGAGACACTTCTCCAACCTGGGAGAGAATGTACGATTTGAGAGCGATGTGGGGAGTTTACGTGAGTGTGTGTGTGTGTGTGTGTGTGTGTGTGTGTGTGTGTGTGAGAGAGAGAGAGAGAGACAGAGACAGAGAGTCAGAGACAGAGACAGAGATAAACAGAGAGATATGAGAAAAAATAATGTTTCTCAAGATCTCTCAACTGTAGTCTGTCCTTGCTGTCTGGATTGAATCCAGGGTCAAGACATCAACTCCCGTCAGGCCCTTTGCCAACTCTGTGTAAGCTTTCCACGGCTTGAGCCTGAGGCAGAAGGATAGACAGAGGGGATACTCTGCCTCTGACTTACTCTGTGCCACAGGACCCAGGCCCTGCAGCACCACAACCTCCTGGTGTGCTCTGTGAGTGGCTTCTACCCAGGCCACATGGAAGTCAGGTGGTTCCGGAACGGCCAGGAGCAGGAGGACGGGGTGGTGTCCACAGGCCTGATCTGGAACGGGGACTGGACCTTCCAGACCCTGGTCATGCTGGAAACAGTTCCTCGGAGCGGAGAGGTTTACGTCTGCCGGGTGGAGCACCCGAGCTGGAGCAGCCCCGTCGCCGTGGAGTGGAGTGAGTGGGAAGCCGGACCTTCTGAGCTCCTGTCCTGCACACAGGGGCTCTTCCCTTATCCCCGAGGGTCAGCCTGCCCTTCCCTTACAGAAATATGCTCTGATCTCCAGTGGGACAACTCCTAGGGGTGGAACCGGGAGAGTTTCTATAAACACTTGCGCACCTTCAGCAGGCAGGATGCCTGTCCCACGGAAGAGAAGTGTCCCTGCTTTGCACCTTCTCATGCTGTCACTGGTCATGGTCACCCCAGGGCCCTGACTCCACACCCTTCCCCTGGGCTGGGCCTGTGTTTCTGCTGCTGCTGCTCTGGGCTGTTCACTGTGCTCTGGAGGAGGAGCAGTGCTGGGTCTTCCTGGCAGGAGAGGAGGCGCCCTCAGCTCTGCCTCTCATCAGCTCTGTCATCCCGGAGGGCTGCTCAGCTCACTGAGCTCCAGACCCTGCTCACATCCGGGTTATTACAGGGCAGTGAGATTTAGGAGAATTCAGGGCATCAGCCTCACACCTACTCTATTTGCAATTTTTAAATCTTTCTTCCCAGGAATGACCACATCTAGCTTTGAGTGCAGGAATCAGTCTTCTAGTCCTAAAATTCTGAGTCTTGGGGTCTCAAGAGGGTTCTGGGATTTTGGGTTAAAATAATCCCTAAACCCGGCACCTTCTCTCAGGGGCACAGTCTGGATCTGCACGGAGCAAGATGCTGAGTGGAGTCGGGGGCTTTGTGCTGGGTCTGCTCTTCCTGGGGGCGGGAATGTTCATCTACTGCAGGAGTCAGAAAGGTAAGAAGCCTACTGGTGCCTCAGCTTCTCTGTACCCTTTTCTCAGGGGGAACAGACTGTTTTACTGTGAAGGGCTCATGGTATTTTGGTGTTTCTGGAGGAAGCCTTTCTTACCTCAGGTTACCTTACCTTTCCTGAGAGTTTAGAAAGCAACTGTTCATGGATCTTTGTTGAAACTCAGGGGCTGTGCCCTGCAGAGACAGGGACAGGTGGAGTAGCCCGGAAATCCTGGGGGCAGAGCTGAGGGTGAGTAAGGAAGGGCACTGAACGGGGGATTTACAGGGCACATGTCTCCTCAGTCACATTCTCTTGGTTTGTGCTCCTTTCTGCACCTGGGCAGCCGAGCCTGTGGTGTCAGAGAAGTCTCAGGTGACAGATGTGACACTGGGAACGCTGAGTGTGGTGAGAGTTTTGCCTTTGTGACTTTTACTTAAGTCTCTATTTCCTTTCTCTTTTCTAGGACACTCTGGAGTTCAACCAACAGGTAAGGAAGGTCCAGTGTCCTTGAATCTTGTCTCAGAGACAGATGTGTTCTTCCTATGAGGGATGGAAGAAGGATGACCAGGAAACAGAAGTACACTTGCCCCTGGAGTTAAGACCACAGTTACATGAAGGACGACCTGGGTTATGACCAAAATTTAGTTTGAACTTGGGAACAAAGTCTTGAGTTGTGACCTGAATGCCGGCTGTGGTGATTCCAGGTGGCCTAGATTCAGATTTACCCTGTAAAGAGTTCTGGAAGGAACATGACATCATCCTTCCCTGTGTGGGGTTAGTTGAGAAATCCTGGCCCATGTCTCTCTAAGGACACTGAGTCTGCCTGTACACAGCACAGACTTTGACGTCTGAGTAGAGGAGCCCTGGCCTTCAGTTGACCAACTTGAGTCACAACAGCTGTTGCAAAGGTATTGAGTTCAGAAGTCACGGGTTTAGTGTATATGAAAGATTTTAGACGCAAGGTTCTGGCCAGGCAGCTGCACTAAACCTTCCTCGTTCCACTTAATAAAACCCTGTGCTCTGAGGTAGCACTTGTTCAGGGAGACGTAAGAGATTTTTCTTCTCTCACTGCAATGCTGTCCTGAGAGGGGAGAGGAGCTGCATTCAGAGTCAGCTCAGGAATCACTGCTGTCCTCTGTCCCTCAGGACTCCTGAGCTAAGGGGAGGTGACAGCACTGCAGGAGGACCGTGTCCCTGCTTCTCCAGGTCTCGTCCACGTCCCGACTGGATCCCTGCTCGGCTCTCGTTCTCCCACAGACAGAGGCCCAGGGTGCACAGGACTCTTCCTCCCTGAGGCCTTCTCTGCCCCTGGGCCACCCCGAAGCCCCGGCACAGACTGCAGCCTCCCTTCATCTCTCCTGGACCCTCTGTGCTCACCGTTTCCCTCCTCCACCTGCCAAACTTCCCTTAGGAGACGTTGCTTTGCCACTTTCTTTTCCTCAAATAAACAGAGTGAAAAATCGTGCTCTTCTTAACCTTGTCAGGAGAAATGTAGAGAATCAGACATGAGGATAGCATCACGTGCACCACTGGTTGTCATTTATGTATAAGAAGTGTGTGAGAGAATCCCTATGTTAAATGGGTTGGCTCAGCCAGTTCCCAAAGTCTGCAGAGAAAAATATCAAGCTCTGTTGTATAAATATATACAATTTTTACTTTTCCTTTAAAATACATTTTAAAATAATATAGCAACTTAAAACCCAATGCCTCCAATGCAAAGTAGTTGTATAACAATGAACACAAACGTGATCACAATTATATTCTGGGAGAGAGCAGCAAACATCCGAGCCCTCGCTCAGAACCTTGCGTCAGGATCTTGCACATCAGCCCGTGGATCTGCGCACGCACCCTTCAGGATGGGCTCGTGCAGAACAGCTCCCGGGAGGCCGCGTGTCAGGGACAGCACTTGTCCTGCTGGAGAAGGAGTTTGTCTCCTGCTCTCCTGGAACAAAGAGTTTCAAGGGCAAATGAGTTCAAAAGCAAATATGTCGGAAGTGTCCTTCAGAGTGACCAGCACTTGAATGCCGCTTACACCTTGTCCTGCACAGTTGTTTTTCTGTACGTTGAGACTCCATTATTCCGTGGATTTAAATCCCCCTTATGAGTTATTCATGCTGTTCCAATCTTCCTGTGTGGAGTGTGTGTGCGGACAGTGCTGTCCTTCCTGCTACACCGCGGGTAACAACTGCAGGGGGACTGTGTTTCCTCATGGAAGAAATGGTTCATCCCAATGTAGTGTGAACTGTGGTAGCAGAGTGTAACGTGCATTAAAGCCTACAATGAAAATTTCAGTCAAGATGCTTTATGGTCTGCAGAGCTGGAAATCCGGTCTGTTTCTCCTGATTTTCTTTACCTTACTGTGGCATGGAGATGGCAGATCCCCTGGGTGTCTCCAGGGCTGCTGACTCCTGCAGGTGGGGGTTCCTATGATGACCCTGTGATTTCACACCTCAGCCTTGTCATCCATGGCAATGCCTGGCCCTGAGATGGCCGAAGGACACCTGTGGCACCTTTAGGGTTCATGTTCTCTTAAAAATTCCTATAATGTCCAGCAGGGGAAAGTCTGTTTTCTTGGGTTCTTTTGTCCATAACATGGAAACTTCCTTAGTTCCCAGCCAAGCCACTTACTGATCCCTGGGAGGGACCAGGGCTCAAGGTGACAGCTCTGACAAACCTTCCTTCAGAGTTTGAGGCTGGGCCTGGTGCCATCCAATAGAAGGGTTGAAATCATGTGTTTTATAAAGAAAGAAATGATTAAATGCATAATTTGGGGTAAGGAAATGATAGTTTCGATGCAATTATTGCGTGAGTGTCATTATTTCATTAGTATTCTGAGGTAATCTCTTCATGCAGGACACTAGATTCTTGATAAGAATCCTGAATGTTTTTGTGCCTTTTCCAAGAGATGTGCTAAGCCTGAAGTTCCAGTCATTAACTCAACCACAGTGAAATAAAAGCAATGCCAAAATGTTGTTTGTTCTCAGAAGTAAATAGGTTGACACATAATTTTGTAAGTAAAATGCATTTACAAAGAAGTTTTTTGAAAAAGTGCATAGCAATGAAAGTGTACCTGTGAACATCTTATATCACATGTGGTGGCAAAGTGGAACAGCCCAGTGTGACAGCCGGTGCAGGGCTCGGTATTACAGCTCTGTATCAAAGCGACAGCAATTGGAAGCCACGAATCCAAAGTTGCTGGAAAAGATGAAGAAAACCCTTTGATCGCTGGCTGGCTCAGAGAAGTTTGGCCACGCTGAATTCTGAGTGCCAGGTAGGGGTAAGGGCTGGGCCCCGTACCAGGCGAGCACGATCTCAGAAGCAGGAGGGCAGAGCTGCAGAGCATCCACCCTGGGCACACGTGCTCCCAGAGGGGGAAGGGGCGTTCACAGAACACTCTTGTGCCTGTGAGGCAGGGGGCAGCACCAGTGAGTTAAGTCAGAGGCCCCCTCTTGCAGGAGTTTTGAAAGAGTGCAAGGACTTTATCAATAGCACATACCTTTGTTTTGTTCCTGACAAGTTTTTCCAGTTATCTGTGCTGGAATCAATCCATGGCACCAAGTGCTTCTCTTTCACTTTATCTTGAAATCCCTGATTTTGCCCCATGGAGTCCCTTGTCACCTCCTTCTCCTTTCTTTGCCCCATCTGAAGGGCTTTTCCCATCAAGTCAGAAGTCCTTGTTTGGACTCCAGCTGCCAGGCGCTGATCTGACCCCCTAGATACCCGTTTAGGGGGTGTTGACGAGGAATAAAGGAAGACAGGCCAATTGCAAAGTAGAAGGGGGACTGGGAGCAGATGTGCTTCTAGTAGACACTCTCAACAGTCTGGGTGGACCTGCTAATATCAGAAAACCAAAAGCTGAGGGGCAGGGTTTTGGGCATCATTTGTAGTACAGTGACTGCTAGATGTCAGAAAATGTACAACTACAGAGTAATAGGGAACAAGATTAATGGGGAACAGGTCCTTCCTTCTACCTGGATGCCTGCATTCTATGGATTGTACTCAGCAGAAGGTATCTTGCCCTAGGAATGTTGTGAGTATGGGTTTTCCCACACACAGAGAAAAACCTTCGGGTTCTTTTTATTACCTTTTCAGTTTCTAGCGCAATTGTGGTGTCCATCTTGGGATCTGTAGGACCCATGTCACATGGCCTGGTCCCCGTATTTGAGTTGGTGAAGTTTTTGTTTTACTTGTGATTCTGGTAGGCAGTGTACTGTTGGATTTTGTTTCTTTCTGCATTCTGCTGCTAATCTGTCCGTGATAGCTGAGTTGAGTCGATATACATTCATAGTTATACTTGATAAATATTGACTTATTTCTCAATAAGTCTTGCCTTATTTCTCTACTACTAGATTGCTACCCATACTTCATACATTCTTTTTATCGGACACTTTAGCAACATTATTGACTCTAGGATATTTTTCTTCTAGGATGTCCTTGTGAACGTTTTGGAGTGTTGTTTCACCTGTCATGAATTTCTGTAGGTTTCCATTATCATTAAAGGACATTGGATCTCCTTCAGTTTGAATGAGAAATTTGTACCAGTCTGGGTTGGAAATTGTTTTCTTAAAGAGTTTGAAACACTTCTTTTCATGCTTTCTTTGCCTTTAGATTTTCTTCTGAGAATTCTATTGCCATTCTGATAGGTTTCTCTTATAGATGATATGTTAATTTTCTGTAGAAGTTGGTGAGAACCTATTTGTCTATTGGATTTCTTATATTTAGTTACATTCCATGGAGTGTTTTTTTCTTTTCCTAGTTTTCTGCTATTTCTTATGTGAACAGCTGTTTAAATGTCCTTTGTGCCATCTTCTCACTTTTACTGGTTCTGATTTGTGAGACATGGCCCCATGATTACACCCAAATCAGGCCTTAAGCAGCACAGGCTGTAAAGAGTTAACCCCACAACTGGCTTGTTTATAGAAGTGAGAATCGACAAACCCTTCCTGCTTAGGTCAGAGTGGCTTGCACCCAAATTTCACTCCCAAAGTGAAAACCTTCTTTACTAAAAACGCCAGGTTAATTATGAACCACAACTTACATATGGCCTCTGTTCCTATTTCAGGAATGTTTTGTCTCTTCCTTTACAAGCCTTGCCTGCATCAGCAACATATCCACAGCACCTCCACATAGGCTCCAAGCAGCCCCTTTACCTCGGGCTGACGATGCTGTGAACAATAAATATCGACAGCTCTGCAGGTTCAGGGCCTTGGCTCGTCCACGCCTCTGATTGCACCAGCACTTGCCATCCTGGTTCTCCACATCTCTCCTTCAACTCCATCTCTTTCTTTTCCTCTTGCCCTGCAGCACCAAGCGAGAGATCGGGATCTACTCCAGGGTTCTGTGATATCTATTTCTCTTGTATGAGGTGTCTCTGATTCATCTACCTGTGGCTGCATCCACTGCTGACCTTCCTCGTTGGTTGAGATCTCTCACAAGGTCGACCTTGACCTCTGCCCAGCCCTCAGGGCCCGACGCTGTCTTTACTTTGGTTGCTTCTGCTTCCTGCACTGCCAGTCATTGTTTCCATCTCCTGAACTTCTGTTTGGAACTTTCTCATGGACCCCATTCCTTTCTATGCTGGGAACTCATGCTTTGCATCTCTTCCTTCAGCTCCACTAATGGCTTATGGTCTTCTCTGGACCCCCTGATCATTGTTTTCTTTAGTGCTGTAATCAGGTTAGTTGTAAGTTTGTGAAATTTCCCGAGAATATTTTTACACCTTTTCACCTCTTTGACAGCCTTTCTGACCTACCTAATATGTAGTTCATGACTTTATTCCCCCGAAGCCTCTTGACTGTGTCTGGAGGAATTGTGCTTTTTGGAGGCATTCTGTTGACTTGTCTGTTCATATTGCTGGTGTTTTTCTTGTCGTGGTGTTCAGGTTTCCAAATTCATTAGACCATTGCTCTGTTACTTGGGAGTGAAGGACAGTCTTATCTATGATTTCCAGGCCATGTAGATATTGCCACAGAGAGAAACCCAGTTGTCAGCCACTACTATGCTACACTGGCTCTTGTACCGATTCAACAACAACAGTGCCCTCAGTATCATCTGAATATTGACAAAACATAGGAACCATTCATGAGCAGCCCTTGAGAAAACAATAAGGGCCATGATTTTAGAGAAGAGAATTAGGACACCCCATACTGATATGTAAAATTAAGACTTTAATTTCTGCTCTGTGTAGGCAGCAGTTCCAGAGCTCAAACATAAGATTCAACTCATTACTTTCTTCTGTGCTGCTCCTCTGATCGTTACTTCACCGAACCAGCCCTCCAAAGCAGAATGCAGGCTCAGCCCCTTCCGGGGAACCCTGCAGATTCCTACTCACCGGTCACTTCCTTAAACCCATCACCAAGGCCTGGCTCTCCACCTGGTCCCTGTCATTGGGTTTCATTCAGTCTGAGGGAAAACTGTCCTCCTGGTGCTTGGTCAGGACTTGGTCACATCGGTCAGAGTTCTGTCACCACTCTTGACCTGGGCTGTGAGGGACACAAGGCCTGGTGTCCTGGTGCATGATGCCCCATTCTCCTGTCTCAGCACTGGGGCGGTGGGCATCCATTTTGGTGAAGTCACAGTGCAGTCCCCATGTCTGCTTGCCTGGATTTGGGCCTTGGGAGGTGTTGGTTTTGACTCTGATGTCATTGTTATGTTTAATAAGAAGATGTGTTCAGGAGCCATGCTCGTGGTTGTGGAAGAATCCTGCTGTTTTGTCCAT